TTGCTTCCAAAATACAACGGTGAAACAGGCATGGGATATACACTCCTATTCCCAAAGCAAGAAATCTGAAGGAATAAAGGAGTTGCCCACCCCAAGCAGGTTTGAAATACTGTAGGGCAGATTTCTTTAGGTACTAAGGGCTGGAAATAATTCTCTGACTTGGTGCTCCACTTGCTGGGTCCACAGTTCCAGCCTCAGGGGCTACAACAGTGGCTCCACCAGTCTCTGGGTTCACAGCCGAGGCTCAGCCAGCCTCTAGCCCTTTCTCAATGACACTGCTGGCCTTTGCACCACTCTTGGCATCTCTGCTCTTAGGGTCATTCTTTATTTTTCTCAAAGAGTATTGCATGTCTGCAGCTGAGTCGCTCTGTCAGCCTATTACTTCCTGTCTGTGGAATCCTAGAAGTCATGCCTCAATCTCATCTTTTATAAATTTTTATAAATTCTCTTTTACAAGAGTATAAAAGTTATTTCACATGTTCTTCCAGGGCTTTACAGTTTGTTTTTTATAACCATTCCTTCTGGGTTTTACTTTTGTGCATCATTTAAAGACAAAACAGAACAAAACAAAACTGGTATCCCAATTAGTAGTGAGTTATCTAGCTTGATTGGTGTGTTATTTATCCAGTGACATTATATGACAGTTTCATCATATATATGAACTAGTATGTGATATTATTGAGTGTATAAAACAACTTTTTGCCAATAACCACAAGCACAGTGTAACTTTCAGCTAGGGAAACTGCGATGTTTCTAACCACGGGGTGAATATATTCTGCAGTGTGTGGTATTCACTATTCATCTATTTCATATTCTAAGAACAGTTTGTCCAAAATGACTGCTTACATGTGTAAAAGTAATATTGGTTATTCTTCATATAAACAAGCTATAATGCTATGATGGTACTTGAAGTGGCAGTTTTAAAGAGGCTGGAGGTGCTTTCCAGGATATAATTAAGAAAGCAGAAAATTAAGATCATCAAGGAGCTAGATCCCTCATTGCAGGCAGATTTTTTACCATCTGAGCCACAGGGGAAGTCTAATTGATAAATGACAATTGACATTAAGAAGTCCGTTATTAGCATCACCATTATCTGATTGATCAACATTTGTGTGAAGATACTTAGGGAAAAAAACAAACAAAAAAAACAGCTACAGCAGGAATCTTATCCCTCATTTCAGAGAATCTGAGTAGATTTCAAGGTGGTTGCCAAATCAAGATATCAGGAAAGCATCTCCAGAGGGACTTTGTAATAATGATTCACCTATAGAATTGATTCAGTTATGCTAATTTTTTTCCAGTAACACAATCCTTCCACTAAAATAGGTTATGTGTGTACTAAATTCCTGTAAGTATACCTAGATCTGTTTCAGGAATCTAAATTCTGTAGTATTAATTTATGTGTTCATTCCTGCATCAATACATCAGTCCTATTACTGTAGCATTACCATGTTTAATATATTGTAGTATAAAAACATTTTCAAAAAGATCTTGAATATTTTTAATCTCATTTTTATAGACTAAGAAAAGCTTACAAGTTTTCTTTAAAAATCTTCAGATTTTTACTGGGTTTATACTGACTAGATTTGAGGTAACTCATATTCTTCTTCATGTTTAGAATCATAATGCATTTATTCAGATATTTTTTGTATCTTTTAGCAATTGTTTTTCATACAAGCCCTACAGTTTGGGAATTTATTGCTGGTTATTATGGAGATTTTATTGCTCTAAAAAAAAAAATTCCCTGCTCTAGTCCCTGGTGGCTCAGATGGTAAAGCGTCTGCCTAGAATGTGGGAGACCTGGATTCCATCTCTGGGTTGCGAAGATCCCCTGGAGAAGGAAATGGCAACCCTCTCCAGCACTCTTGCCTGGAAAATCCCATGGATGAAGGAGCCTGGTAGGCTACAGTCCACGGGGTCATAAAGAGTCCGACAGGACTGAGCAACTTCACTTTCACTTTCAGCTCGAGGTTGTGGAAACTTTTTTCAATTAGGATTTGTTGGTATTTAGAAAAGGCTATTGTTTTATTTATCTGATGTACAGTCACTTTACTGACCTCTTGTAGGAACAGATTTTTTCACTGCTGGACTTTTTTGTTGACAATCATGACATTTGCAAATAATGAGAATTTGCCTCTTTTCCCCATGGTATTACTAGCTCTTTTCTTTTTGCCTTATTTCACTGGCTTTGAAAGTTGCCTGATTTTAATGGGAGCATTTTCAATACTTCATCATTAAGTATATCTTTGTAGGTCTCTAGTAGATTTTCTTTATCAAATCAAGCAAGCTTCATTCTATTACTATTTTCCTGAGAATTTAACTTTTCAAAGTATAGTCAGGATGATTGTAAATCCATTTACTATATATGGTCTTTATAAATTCTTTTTTAAAAATTTATGAAGATTTTTGTGACTTACTGTGTTTTTAATATTCTAAATGTTTTCATTCAAGTTAAGAAAATGTGAATTGACTGTTTAACTTTCATGCATAGTTAACGTGATATGGAGTTATTTAAATCCTACAGTATCTTTTCTTGATTATTTATGTGTGAGTTCTGTTAAAATTCCACTCTGTAAGTTAACATTTCTCCTTATATTCTCACTGATTTTTTTTTCCCTTAAACTTTGATGTTGAATTGTTAGGTTCATAAGGATTCATAATCATAAAAATAGTTTTTACTTTGAATGGAAGTATCACTCCTAGTTTCTCTTGGTAAGCATTTACTTGGTATGTTTTTCATCATCCTTTTATATCCAATTGTTTTGTTTTGATGTGTCTACCCTAAACAGCATGTCATTAGATATTTTTGCTACTCATTCTGATAACTGATCTCTTAACATATTAACTTTAGTTGTGATAACAAATATTTGTTATTTTCTACATTGTTTTCTTCCTCATCTATTTCCTATATTCTGCTGGATGTGTTTATTTTGTTTACTGTGCCATTATGTCAGGAGGAGAAGGGGACAACACGGGACGAGATGGTTGGATGGCATCATGGACTCAATGGACATGAGTCTGAGCAAGCTCTGGGAGAAGGTGAAGGACAGGGAAGCCTGGCGTGCTACAGTCCATGCAGTCGGGAGTTGGACAGACAGGACTGATGGATTGAAAAAAATATGCCATTTTTTTTTCTGTGTAGGATTTTGGAAGCAATTTATCCCATTCTTGTCTTCTCTTGCTTGTTCTTAAATTTTAGGAAACTTTTATTTAAAGTTATTTTCTTCTATAATGTCAATCATTCATGTCAGTAACTGCCTTTCCAAACTAATTAAGACAGTTAATATACGCAGATTAATCCTAGCCTCTCAAGTTTTGTGGCTATTGCCTGGATTCTTGTTTATAGATTTTTTTAAAATTTGCTTTACATTGTGACTCAAGTTTTGGTTGAATTTTATCTTACTAATTGTAATGATATTCATAATTTCACAAAACTATTTTTCTATTCGCTTCAGTTATTTCTCTGCTCACTATCACCTTTTATTCCACGTGTTCCTCTTAGTTGAACATACCTTCTGTTTTCTCCTCAAGTGATACTTCAGGACCTTTCTATGGTGGTAAATTTCTGAGTCCTTTAGTACATAAAAGTCCCTTAATTTTGCCCCTAAACTTGGTAATAGTTTGGCTAAGCTCAGAAACTGTTAAAAAGAATATCCCTTTAGAGCCTCAAGAGTATTGTTCCATTTTGCTTATTACTTGAGAGATCAAGTGAGAAGTCTGACAGCAATCTGAATATTGTTTCTTTAAAACTATCTTATGTTTTACCTTTCAGAAACTTTTAGGGCCTGTCTGAAGTTTCTTGGAGTTCAGAAATTTCAGGATGTATCTAAATGAGGTCTTAATCTATCTCACATACATGCAGACTTTTTATTGGATTTCTCTATAAGGGACAATAAATATGTAAATTTTACAATAAAAATGTAAATCTGAAGTCATCTTAGAGGCCAGCCAAATGCAAGGAAGATTAAAATTAAATGTTTAATCAAAAGGTACAACACGCACCTAAAATCTACTTCCATGGCTGTAATAGATTTAGATTAACTTACAGCAAAAACTTGAGGTTTTAAGAGACTACATAGTGCAAATTTTAGAGACTATATAGTATGAAGTGGATTTGCTTCCCAGGGGACTGGTACACTGATAATTTGGATTCAACAGGACATTTGACCAGGAAAATGTTAAGATGGCTTGAAGTAAAGCTAAGTCAAAAAGAACAGGTATAGTGAAGAAACCAAATACATAGTCTCTTACTTATGGGTGATTCATGTTGATGTTTGGTAGTAACTAACAAAATTCTGTAAACCAATTATCCTTCAATTAAAAATAAATTGAAAAAAAAATAGTCTCCAAATATATGGTGACAGAGTTATTTTCTTCCTCTCAAGTAGCATATTCTCATGATTCTCCCCAATGGCTATTCAATCTGAAAGCTGCTGCTCTGGCCTTTCAGGTGGCTCAGCAACCAGGTAAACTAGGTTTGGGTTGCACAGGGCTCTTCATGTAATTTAGCACAGATCTTGGAGAACTTGTGATACATGGGGATGGGGGGACGGAATACAGGCAATAGGGAGGGGTTGGTAGTATGGAGATGTGGTGGTGGCAATGGTGGACTGGGTTGGCTGCACTGTTAGCTATTCAGGACAAAGTAAACCCTGAAGCATTCCCATATTAAGTACACTGTTTCCCCAGTTAATTTCAAAGAACTCCACACAACACCTTCAAAGTCTGAAGTCAGCAGCTGACCTGTAGTTAAAGCTGCAAGGCTCGCAAACTCATCAAAGAAGCCAGAATGAGATGACCTAGATAGGAAATTCTAGCAATTATTCTCCATGAGTCTTTCTCCAATCTAAAATAAACATATAATATACACGATGTGGGATTTAGAAACCCACGCTGTAGCAAGCAGGGTATTCTGTCAAACATTTCATCAAACATCAAGGGAAACTAATGGTCAGGATATATTTTATTTTATTTAATACACAACTCCCAACATTATTCTATTATAATGGGACATGGCTGAACAGGTAGGAGGCAGATTTCCCACTGTGAGTTCTTCTGATGGCTTCTGCAAGAATCATGGAGATGTCAATCACCTGTATTTTGGAGCAGTGCTTCATCTTATCCTCCTGAGGTACGGTATTGGTGACTACGACTGCTTCAATGCCTGCACTGTTCATGCGAGTAATGGCTGGGCCAGAAAAGATCCCATGAGTCAAGATCGCATAAACTCTGGTGGCTCCAGCTGAAAGAAGTTTGTCGGCTGCGTCGCAGATTGTACCACAAGTGTCAGCCATGTCATCCACAAGGATAGCCACACGATACTTCACATCTCCCACTAGTACCGTTCCGTCCACTTCACTGGCTTTCTTCCGTTCTTTGTGAATCAAGGCAAAGTCCACATTCAATCTGTCCGCAATGGAGGTCGCTCTCTCAGCTCCACCAGCATCTGGGGAGACTATCGTGCAGCTCCTCCACTCAGAGATACTCTCCTTTATCCACTTCAGGACAGCGGGTTCTGCACACAAATTGTCTACTGGGATATCAAAAAAGCCCTGAATTTGAGAAGCATGTAGGTCCATCGTGATGATATGATCTGCGCCTGCTGTTGACAGCATATCTGCAACAAGTTTGGCGGAGATCGGGGCTCGGCTCTCACCTCTCTTGTCCTGCCGGGCATACGGGAAGCACGGAATAACTGCGGTAACCCGGCCTGCGGAAGCAATCTTGCAGGCATTAATCATGATCAAAAGCTCCATCAAATTGTCATTGATTTCGCCACAGCCACTCTGCACTATGTAGACATCCTCTCCTTGCACACTCTCGCCAATTTCCACGCATGTCTCCTGGTTGCTGAATTTCTTGGTCACTACCTTGCCCAAGTCCAGGCCCAATCGGTCGGCGATTTTCTGGGATAAGTCCTGGTGGGAGCTGCCGCTGAAGATTTTGATATTTGGCTTTTTGGTCAACTGCAGTAGGCCCTTTGCATCCATTGATCACGTCGGCAGCTGAGACAGGAACAAAAGTCAGACTGCAGACTATGCCAGGAGCCACCTCAGGCGCCAGATACTATGGACACTTAACTAACGGCTTCTGGTTATTACTCTGTGCTTCCGGTCCCGTCAGGCAGTGCGCGACTTTAAACTGCTACCCTACATCTTTAAAAAAAAGTTCCTGCTTGGAACGGACTTCACACTTGTAAACTAAAGAGAATGAAACCTTTTTTCAGTTCGTGAACTTTCCCCCCACCTTCTGTATAGAGCCTGTTTTAGTTTCCAAGGGCAGCTTAAATCTGAGTAAGTGAAAACATAAAATTTCTGTTAGGCAAAAAGCGTAACTTTGAAAAGTTCTGGGATGGAGGAAATATCTAGAATGTGTCCTGAGTTCTTCCAAGCGAGAAAAGGTAAGGAAGAATAAACATATGAAGGAAAAACACTAGAAATCAAGAAAATGACACATTTCCACACACCAGTTGAGCCAAAATTATTATAGGTAATTCCTTCTACTCTAATGGGATGTTTAAGTGAGGGATTTCATGAGGGAAATTTCGCATGTAACCTTTGACTCAATGTGTCTTCTAGGTCTCTACTCACTAGAAATATTCTTAAAATATATTGATAACTATTTCTTTCTGTATTAATCCTTTTAGTCAAAATTTCCTGAGGTATTACGTGTGTCGGGTTGTTGCGCCATTTACAGAGTACAAGATGATGAATGACGAATAGTAACTCTCTAGAAATGCTTATAAAAGCAAAATATGGAAACCAATAAATGTCTGTCAATAGCTAAATTATCAGGTAATGTATAGTTGGTACACAGGGCTGCTGCTGTTAAAGAGATTGTAATAGTCATGTGAAAGAAATCTTATAGAAGTATCTCCAATGTATTTTTAAATGTGAAAAAAAATTCATAAAAATATGCACAGTATGATATTTATGTATTTAAAATTAAGTAATAGAGTCAAAGCATCAAATAATTATGGAAGTCTTTTTAAAAAATTATTTATTTATTTTTGGCTGCCTGGGTCTTCCTTGCTGCATATGGGCTTTCTCTCGCTGTGGCCAGCAGGGATAACTCTCTAGTTGTGGGGCACCGGCTTCTCATCGCAGTGGCTTTTCTTGCTGTAGAGACTGCCTCTAGGGCCCTCAGGCTTCAACAATTGCAGCGTGTAGGGTTAGTTACCTTGAGGCAGGTGGAGTCTTCCTGGATCAGTGATCAAACCCGTGTCCCCTTCATTAGCAGGAGGATTATTAGTCATTCGCTGAGCCACTAGGGACATCTTTTTTTTTATTATGATTGCCTTTGCAGACAGGAGTAGGTTGATAGTAGTTGGGGTTAGTTATGCACAATTTATTGACATTGTTAATGTGGTATTTGAACCTTCATTACTTTTATAATTTAAAAAAGACTAAAAAATATACATGATGATTAACATCTTTGCTTGCAAATTTTAAGTACACTGCTTCCAAATGCATTAGGGGTTGGAGTTGTGGGCTAAGAAGTGGAGGGGATCATAGATACCAGGAGTTTCAACAACAAACTGTGTCATAAAAATAATGTAGACATTAGAGATCAGAAAATTTATCATGTTAATTGTGTGTTTGACATTTGGTTCTGGGATATTTTTATTTCATCTAAAACCAAAATAATTATTTTATAATATTTTGAAATTACTAAATAATTTTTTGAACCTATACCAGCTCATTTCAGTCCACAACCCTTCATTTATGTTCTTTCCTATCACAAAATCCACAGACACACCTATACTATGTAATTCTCATCCTCAGCCAAGATTCCGTACAGTGAATTCTAAAGAAAATTCTGTGGCTTAATTTAGCAGCACTGAAAAGTACTTGCAGCTTCCATTAAAATGATTTTTCTCTTAGTGTTCTCAACGTGTCGCACATTTTTCAGTTTTTAAAGAAAAACAAAACAGGTTTTTAAATAGATTTATTATTACCCAAATGAAGTGAATGCTAATGTAAACATTAAAAACCATAGTTGGTTGCATTTTCCTTGAGGTGTTAAGTAGGAGAAACTTTTGTGTTGCTGCTATTTTTGCTCCATGCTCTCGCTCTTGCAACACCTCGCACTTCCAGGGATTTATCTAGAATCATAAAATGTTAAAGATGGAAATGACCTTAGAAACCACCAGGTCTAACATCCCAATTCACAGATAGGGAACCAAGGCTCAGAGAAATGAAGCAAGTTGCCTGGGATCTAACAGGTAATTTGAGGCAGATTGTGGATTAGGACTCAGAATCCCTGAATTTCCCAGTAGGACTTTTCTCAGTGTATCATGTCTCGGCTTTTTATTTGAGGTCTGTCAGAATGAACGAAAAGTCCAAAGGTCACATAGAAATTGTTGCACAAAATTTTTACTCTTTTATTGAACATCTACAACAAAGAACAAAACCCCAAAGATGAGACTGGAAAATCCTTTTACTTTAAAAAATTATTTCCAAAAAGAGATAAGTGATTAGTAATGTCATGGAAATATCTTTATTACTCTGATATTTCTGTTACATGGATCTGCTGTAAGGGGATTTAGCTACTGTTTATTTTAGTCTCTATAGGTTGAGAAAGACATCTATCTTGTCACTGTTTCAGACCAAAGTTACAGGTAGGAATAATGCCCATTGAACAACACATTCTATTTAAAACATTGTTTCTTAATAAATTACTCTGGAAACAGAAATTATGGTATGGAGAAAATGTCTCTTTCTCCTTCCCAAGGCCAGCATATTTAAATGTCATCTTTACAGATCTGTAAGAATTGCTGTATTTTGAAGGTCTTTTGAGTCAATACCCAGAATATATCTATTAACTTGGTAATAGTTTCTTGCTTTACTGATTATTCTTTTACCCTTCACAATTCCAACACAAATAATTCAAAGAGAGCCCTGATACAGCTTGATCAGCTAAGGAGAAAAGCAGTTCAGTCAGTTCTTTCAGAAAGTGGAGAAAAAGGGTTGTTGTATTTTAAATAAAATAAATGCTTTCACTAAACACGCTTGCAGTTGACAAAATGCTAGATGTTTAGGTAGCAATTATAGTTCTTTGATAAACTGTCAAATCTTGTCACAACACACGTTACAAACAAGGACAGATTTAGATGTCCTTTATGACAGCTTTGTGTAGGTTGAGAATGTTTGGCAGTTAGTTTCAAAAAGTAACATATTTTTCTTTCCAGCAGTTATCTGCTTGTTTATTAGGAAGAGTTTCTTTGTGCATTTAATCTTCCTCATTTGACTCACAGTTCCAGATCATTATTGTAACATTACCTTACCTCTTTTATTTTGTTCAAAATAATCATCTACAATATTTTGAGAAAACTATTTCCCACAGAGCTTTATATTGGTAGAAATGCTTTAAAGTTTGTTTTGTGATTGTTTATAATTAAAGTTGACTACTGTGTGTGTTTACTGAGCTTTTAGTTGGAAATCTGTCATTTTATACAATAGATGTGAAGATGGGGATTAGGTAAGTAAATATGAGTGAAACAAATAGAAGAAAAAGACAAAAATTTTGTTATTCAGAAATGTGACTTTAATTTTGAGTATTATATTAGACTTGTGATGGTATTTTTTAAACACATTTTGGAATTAAAAAACTTTCTAGTGAACTTAAAAATCTTAGCATGAAAAAATAATCTTGGAATAATAATGAGGTTAGGTGTGCTGCAATGACAGATGAGACAATATATGGAGAAGTTCCATAACTAGTTAATTTCAATAAACATATCTCTCTAAATATTTATGTGAAATATTTTTAAGTATTTTAAGGAAGCTATTGATAATAGATCTTTCCCTTCTCATGTAGAATATTAGTTTCCTGAAATTAGTAAAAAGATACTTATGTTAATTTGACAAAATGCAAGTTCCATTTATGCTATTCAACCCATTTTATAGACTGTTTTTCCCTTCCATTGTGATCATTTAATCTTCATAATAAACATTAAGACCAGTTGCCCATTCACATAAGAATATATTGAATGTCGTATGGTTTGACATGGTTCAGTGATTCTCCAATTTTATGGGCAGCAGGATCACCCAGTAGGGAGTGTGAGATTCCAGAGCCTCATCCCTAGAGTTACTGATCAGTCGGTCCCCCGAGTGGAGCCTCAGACTTCCTGTTTCTTACAAGACACCAGGAAATGCTGATGCTGCCATTCTGGTGACCACACTTTTGAGAACCACTAGTTTGCATCATTAACATTATTTCACCATTTAGGAAGATAAAAGGTACTAGTTGATTTACTTTGCTTCTGCTCATTTCACTAGCCCTTGTAAGTTTGGCATATTTTATTTTGCTTCTAGATCTTTTCATGTTCTTTTGTACATATGAATATTTCTTTCAAATATCACATAATCCTTTATGAACTGTATATATATACATGCATATGTATATATATTTATATCCTTCAAGTTAAAATACCTATAGTATGTTCCAGAAATACTTTAGCAAATACATGTAAGATGTGCATTCTTATTTGGGGTGTTCAAAAAATCCATTAGATATTTGAACAACTAAAAACTAATTAACACTTATTAGCACTGAAGAACTGAATGAAACTAAGAGGCTCTCCTGTTTATTATCCCATTTCACCTCCTTGAGTATCATACAGTATTCATCACTGAGAAAGTCTTTTCATCAAACCCTGAAAAGCACATGTCCAAGATGATCCTACGTACTGTACAGAGTAAATACTTCCTAATTTGATCTGACGTTACCACTTGGGAGGAAACCATTGTTCAGA